CCCATGCTTGTATCACAGCACCAACAAGTTCTCCAACCCTAATCAACAAGTTTTTTTTCCCCTACTATCTAATAGAATGGTTCTCAAAAGATGACACCATCATTATTAATTTTCTTCAATGTCCAAGAGGAGGCGTCTCCACTGGTTGTAAACAGAATTCAGATTGTGAGAAGTCTATGATAAAATGTTTCTATAGTCAGGTGATTTATTACCTCAGTAAACATTTTCCTAGAATAGAATAGAATATATCTTTATTGTCATTGCTATAAAAACAACGAGAAACAATTTAGCAGCTCCAGTCATTTCCAGCACACACAGATGGACGGTAAAGGCATTTCACTGCCTGTGGAAAAAACTGTTTCTGAGTCTGTTTTTGAGTTTATGATCTCAATCTCCGGTTTCAAGTCTTCTTCAAAACAATTTCATGTTCACTTAATAAATAATGGTAAAACTTTGGAGTCAAAGAGACCAGAAAGCAGGCGAGGGTTAGAGGGGACCTGTGATTGACAAGCTGCTACAATGGTGACCTGAAAAATATCTTGTGTAATGTCCGATTTACTTGAAAACATTCTGAGGACTCAGCTATTTATTTTCTAAAGTAAACACATTTTGTTTAGAGTCCAACTTAATATCACAAACACTAAAATTACAGATGCACCTTGCTTTCTGAGGTAGCTGTAGCTGAAGACTTAGCAAGAAGAGCAAGGGTTTCCCTCGCTCCTCCCCAGCTCCACCCCTTTTTTCAAATACGGTTCCTTCTGGCACCAAAAACCAGAAAAGATCGAGTAAAAATGCCAAACTTCAGGATACAAACCATCAGCTATGCAACAAAGTCACATCAAGGTAGCTACCTCCACATTTGATACACAGTCTATGTTAAGAAGTCAATGTTAGCATGTTAACATGATGTTGATGTAAAAAGAAAACTACATCAGTGTGTGTGCACATCAACCACTACTAGTTGGACTTTCCTTATCCTTATCACAAGCTCTAAATCCTCATAAAGAATTGTTTTTTTTCTAATCTTGTGTTTTCATGTCCACACACTATTGGGAAATGTCTCTCTTACCTAGAGTGCAGCCAACAAGGTCACCAACAGCCTCCATAATTTCTTCAGTATTATTCACATATATATCCTCATAATCAGGGTTATTTGGAATTGCCAGGATGACATCATGTTTGACATCAACACTGATGGGGAGAGAATTCAATATGTCAGTTTCAGTTGGTTTTAAAAGAAAATATTCAAAAATGCAACAAATAACACAATTCAAAACATGAGATGTTGCTGAGATGTAGTCTCTTTACAATTTCATTTGTTTTATTGTTTCCTGGTTAAATATTGTTAAAAATAAATTATATTTTAAGTTGCAATAAGTCAGATGATGATAAACTAGCTTCATGGTGAGACACCTAAGCATTTTAAATCTAGTTGAATGTAACTGTTGACACCGCTGGTAGAATAAGCAGTACAGCTGGATTTGTTGTCTCATTTGATAATACATATACAGTATCTGTAAAAGCTGACACCTATTGATAAAGCAGACACAAATTTTCCAGATAAGACAAGCGTGGTAATTGAGATCAAATGCCCTGAGTGATGTAAAAACTTCAAAGTCAACTTGTGATACAGCCATAATACAGTCCAGTACATCTTTATGTCATTGGACATTTTATTCTCTACTTACCCGACTCTTGTTGGTGTGAGATCTGTGCCTTCAACCCTTAATTGTATCTGAAATGGTATGAAAAAAACCCAGTTACATTTTATTTGATCTTTTCTCTGAACTATTGGCAATGTTTTTTTAAATTATTCACCTCTTCCACAATGTTGGTTGATAATCTGCCCAATGGGCTTCCTGGGCTATAAAGGAACAAGAGAAACAATCTTAAGGAGAAGAAGATTTGCCACCAAAACCAGTTGTTTTAAAAACAGTTTTAAAATTGATTATAAAAAATGAAAAGTACATCACCTGACACTTATGACCACCACTTCTTTAACATTTTCTATCCTTATTTTGTAATATTCCTCCATCTGAAAATAGTGACATAATAGAATATCAATATCTTCATGATATTAGTTTAGGTCATATAATTGTGTTTTCGTTTTATTAAATACAAGAAGAAAATATGCTGTGATATAAATAAAACATTTAGGTTAAATCCAATTAGACATCTCTTTGGAGAATAATCTTTTATTTCTCTTTAAATGGACGGATGTCCTGTTATTGTTTGTGCTTTTTCAGACTAATACTCTGTAGCCATGTATCTCACCTGGCTGGTGAAGTTTCCAACAAATTCTTTGTATTCCTGTGATGCCTCATCCTCATATTCATCAATATATTCCTCATTGATGTCTATATTAACCACAACCGTTCTGTTGATTGTATCTGTATGGACATAGAAATATTTCATTAAATATCAGTGAAGAATAAAGTTAAAATAATGTTGTCTTTAAAAAACGTATATGATTTAACATTAATTTACTATAGTTATTTAATTTACCTGGCTCAACAGCAACTTCAACATGTTCACAGACAGGTCCAATAAATCCAATGAGACATGAGCAGTTGTGACCATTGTCAATTCCTCCGTTTTGGCAAATTAAAGGCTTACGAGTAGTGGATTGGGTAGTTGGTTGAATTGTTGGAGTGATAGGTGGTGTAGTTGAAGGTACAGTTGTAGCCTCAGTTGTACCAGGCTTATCAGTTATGGGAGTGCCCTCAGTTGGTTCACTTGTTGCATGAGTTGTACCAGGCTGATTAGTTGTAGGGGTGCCCTCAGTAGGACCACTTGTTGCCTCAGTTGTGCCAGGCAAATCAGTTGTGGGCGTGCCCTCAGTTGGTCCACTTGTTACCTCAGTTTTGCCAGGCTGATCAGTTGTGCCAGGCAGATCACTTGTGGGTGTACCCTCAGTTGGCCCACTGCTCTTCTCAGTGGTGACAGGCTGATCAGTTGTGGGAGTGCCCTCTGTTTGTCCACTTGTTGCCTCAGTGGTGACAGGCTGATCAATTGTGGGGGTGCCCTCAGTTGGTCCACTCGTTGCCTCAGTGGTGACAGGCTGATCAGTTGTGGGGGTGCCCTCAGTAGGTCCACTTGTTGCCTCAGTTGTGACAGGCTGATAAGTTGTGGGGGTGCCCTCAGTTGGTCCACTCGTTGCCTCAGTTGTGCCAGGCTTATCAGTTGTGGGCGTGCCCTCAGTTGGTCCACTCGTTGCCTCAGTGGTGACAGGCTGATCAGTTGTGGGCGTGCCCTCAGTTGGTCCACTCATTGCCTCAGTTGTACCAGGCTGATCAGTTGTACGAGTTCCCTCAGTTGGCCACTGGTCTTCTCAGTTGTGACAGGCTGATCAGTTGTGGGAGTGCCCTCTGTTGGTCCACTTGTTGCCTCAGTTGTGCCAGGCAAATAAGTTGTGGGCGTGCCCTCAGTTAGTCCACTTGTTGCCTCAGCTGTGCCAGGCTGATCAGTTGTGCCAGGCAGATCAGTTGTGGGCATGTCTTCAGTTGGCCCACTGGTCTTCTCAGTTGTGACAGGCTGATCAGTTGTGGGAGTGCCCTCAGTAGGTCCACTTGTTACCCCAGTTGTGACAGGCTGATCAGTTGTGGACAAGCCCTCAGTTGGTCCACTTGTTGCCCCAGTTGTGACAGGCTGTTCAGTTGTGGTCGTGCCCTCAGTAGTTCCACTTGTTGCATCAGTTGTGACAGGCTGATCAGTCGTGGTCGTGCCCTCAGTAGTTCCACTTGTTGCATCTGTTGTGCCAGGCTGATCAGTTGTGGGCGTGCCCTCAGTAGTTCCACTTGTTGCATCAGTTGTGACAGGCTGATCAGTTGTGGGAGTGCTCTCAGTAGTTCCACTTGTTGCATCTGTTGTGCCAGGCTGATCAGTTGTGGACAAGCCCTCAGTAGTTCCACTTGTTGCATCCGTTGTCACAGGCTGATCAGTTGTGGACAAGCCCTCAGTAGTTCCACTTGTTGCATCAGTTGTGACAGGCTGATCAGTTGTGGGGGTGCCCTCAGTAGTTCCACTTGTTGCATCAGTTGTGGTGGTGCCCTCAGTAGTTCCACTTGTTGCATCCGTTGTGCCAGGCTGATCAGTTGTGGACAAGACCTCAGTAGTTCCACTTGTTGCATCAGTTGTGACAGGCTGATCAGTTGTGAGGGTGCCCTCTGTTGGCAGATTTGTAGCCTCTGTTGTGCCAGGCTGATCAGTTGTGGGGGTGTCCTCAGTAGGTCTACTTGTTGCCTCAGTTGTGCCAGGATGATCAGTTGTGGGACTGCCCTCAGTTGATCCACTTGTTGCCTCAGTTGTGCCAGGCAAATCAGTTGTGGGCGTGCCCTCAGTTGGTCCACTTGTTACCTCAGTTGTGCCAGGCAAATCAGTTGTGGGCGTGCCCTCAGTTGGTCCACTTGTTACCTCAGTTGTGACAGGCTGATCAGTTGTGGGAGTGCCCTCTGTTTGTCCACTTGTTGCATCAGTTGTGACAGGCTGATCAGTTGTGGGGGTGCCTTCAGTTGGTCCACTTGTTGCCTCAGTGGTGACAGACTGATCAGTTCTGGGGGTGCCCTCAGTTGGGCCACTCGTTGCCTCAGTGGTGACAGGCTGTACAGTTGTGGGCGTGCCCTCAGTTGGTCCACTTGTTGCCTCAGTGGTAACAGGCTGATCAGTTGTGGGGGTGCCCTCAGTTGGTCCACTCGTTGCCTCAGTTGTACCAGGATGATCAGTTGTGAGAGTTCCCTCAGTTGGTCCACTCGTTGCCTCAGTTGTGACAGGCTGATCAGTTGTGGGGGTGCCCTCAGTTGGTCCACTCGTTGCCTCAGTTGTGACAGGCTGATCAGTTGTGGGGGTGCCCTCAGTTGGTCCACTCGTTGCCTCAGTTGTGACAGGCTGATCAGTTGTGGGCGTGCCATCAGTTTGTCCACTCGTTGCCTCAGTTGTGACATGCTGATCAGTTGTGGGCGTGCCCTCAGTAGGACCACTCGTTGCCTCAGTTGTGACAGGCTGATCAGTCGTAGGTGTTCCATCAGTTGGTCCACTCGTTGCCCAGTTGTGACAGGCTGATCAGTCGTGGGAGTGCCCTCAGTTGGTCCACTCGTTGCTTCAGTTGTGACAGGCTGATCAGTCGTGGGAGTGCCCTCAGTTGGTCCACTCGTTGCCTCAGATGTTACAGGCTGATCAGTCGTGGGGGTGCCCTCAGTTGGTCCACTTGTTGCCTCAGTGGTGACAGACTGATCAGTTGTGGGGGTGCCCTCAGTTGGGCCACTTGTTGCCTCAGTGGTGACAGGCTGTACAGTTGTGGGCGTGCCCTCAGTTGGTCCACTTGTTGCCTCAGTGGTGACAGGCTGATCAGTTGTGGGGGTGCCCTCAGTTGGTCCACTCGTTGCCTCAGTTGTACCAGGATGATCAGTTGTGAGAGTTCCCTCAGTTGTGACAGGCTGATCAGTTGTGGGGGTGCCCTCAGTTGGTCCACTCGTTGCCTCAGTTGTGACAGGCTGATCAGTTGTGGGGGTGCCCTCAGTTGGTCCACTCGTTGCCTCAGTTGTGACAGGCTGATCAGTTGTGGGCGTGCCATCAGTTTGTCCACTCGTTGCCTCAGTTGTGACATGCTGATCAGTTGTGGGCGTGCCCTCAGTAGGACCACTCGTTGCCTCAGTTGTGACAGGCTGATCAGTCGTAGGTGTTCCATCAGTTGGTCCACTCGTTGCCCCAGTTGTGACAGGCTGATCAGTCGTGGGAGTGCCCTCAGTTGGTCCACTCGTTGCTTCAGTTGTGACAGGCTGATCAGTCGTGGGAGTGCCCTCAGTTGGTCCACTCGTTGCCTCAGATATTACAGGCTGATCAGTCGTGGGGGTGCCCTCAGTTGGTCCACTCGTTGCCTCAGTTGTGACATGCTGATCAGTTGTGGGGGTACCCTCAGTAGGTCCACTTGTTGCCTCAGTTGTGCCAGGCTGATCAGTTGTGGGGGTGCCTTCTGTTTGTCCACTTGTTGCCTCAGTTGTACCAGGCTGATCATTTGTGGGGGTGCCCTCAGTAGGTCCACTTGTTGCCTCAGTTGTACCAGGCTGATCAGTTGTGGGCGTGCCCTCAGTTGGTCCCCGTTGCATCTGTTGTGGCAGGCTGATCAGTTTTAGGAGTGCCCTCAGTAGGTCCACTTGTTGCTTCAGTTGTACCAGGCTGATCATTTGTGGGGGTGCCCTCAGTAGGTCCACTTGTTGCTTTAGTTGTACCAGGCTGATCATTGTGGGGGTGCCCTCTGTTGGTCCACTCGTTGCCTCAGTTGTGGCAGGGTGATCAGTTGTGGGGGTGCCGTCAGTAGTTCCACTTGTTGCATCAGTTGTGACAGGCTGATCAGTTGTGGGGGTGCCCTCAGTAGTTCCACTTGTTGCCTCAGTTGTGACAGGCTGTTCAGTTGTGGGGCGTGCCCTCAGTAGTTCCACTTGTTGCATCAGTTGTGCCAGGCTGATCAGTTGTGGGGGTGCCCTCAGTAGTTCCACTTGTTGCATCAGTTGTGACAGGCTGATCAGTTGTGGACAAGCCCTCAGTAGTTCCACTTGTTGCATCAGTTGTGACAGGCTGATCAGTTGTGGGCGTGCCCTCAGTAGTTCCACTTGTTGCATCAGTTGTGACAGGCTGATCAGTTGTGGGCGTGCCCTCAGTAGTTCCAAATGTTGCATCAGTTGTGGCAGGCTGATCAGTTGTGGGGGTGCCCTCAGTGGTTCCACTCGTTGCATCAGTTGTGCCAGGCTGATGAGTTGTGGACAAGCCCTCAATAGTTCCACTTGTTGCATCTGTTGTGACAGGCTGATCAGTTGTGGACAAGCCCTCAGTAGTTCCACTTGTTGCATCTGTTGTCCAGGCTGATCAGTTGTGGACAAGCCCTCAGTAGTTCCACTTGTTGCATCAGTTGTGCCAGGCTGATCAGTTGTGAGGGTGCCCTCAGTAGTTCCACTTGTTGCATCTGTTGTCCAGGCTGATCAGTTGTGGACAAGCCCTCAGTAGTTCCACTTGTTGCATCAGTTGTGACAGGCTGATCAGTTGTGGGCGTGCCCTCAGTAGTTCCACTTGTTGCATCAGTTGTGGCAGGCTGATCAGTTGTGGGGGTGCCCTCAGTAGTTCCACTTGTTGCATCAGTTGTGACAGGCTGATCGGTTGTGGACAAGCCCTCAGTAGTTCCACTTGTTGCATCAGTTGTGACAGGCTGATCAGTTGTGGGGGTGCCCTCAGTAGTTCCACTTGTTGCTTCAGTTGTACCAGGCTGATCATTTGTGGGGGTGCCCTCAGTAGGTCCACTTGTTGCTTTAGTTGTACCAGGCTGATCATTTGTGGGGGTGCCCTCTGTTCCACTCGTTGCCTCAGTTGTGGCAGGGTGATCAGTTGTGGGGGTGCCCTCAGTAGTTCCACTTGTTGCATCAGTTGTGACAGGCTGATCAGTTGTGGGGGTGCCCTCAGTAGTTCCACTTGTTGCATCAGTTGTGACAGGCTGATCAGTTGTGGGCGTGCCCTCAGTAGTTCCACTTGTTGCATCAGTTGTGCCAGGCTGATCAGTTGTGGGGTGCCCTCAGTAGTTCCACTTGTTGCATCAGTTGTGACAGGCTGATCAGTTGTGGACAAGCCCTCAGTAGTTCCACTTGTTGCATCAGTTGTGACAGGCTGATCAGTTGTGGGCGTGCCCTCAGTAGTTCCACTTGTTGCATCAGTTGTGACAGGCTGATCAGTTGTGGGCGTGCCCTCAGTAGTTCCAAATGTTGCATCAGTTGTGGCAGGCTGATCAGTTGTGGGGGTGCCCTCAGTGGTTCCACTCGTTGCATCAGTTGTGCCAGGCTGATGAGTTGTGGACAAGCCCTCAATAGTTCCACTTGTTGCATCTGTTGTGACAGGCTGATCAGTTGTGGACAAGCCCTCAGTAGTTCCACTTGTTGCATCTGTTGTCCAGGCTGATCAGTTGTGGACAAGCCCTCAGTAGTTCCACTTGTTGCATCAGTTGTGCAGGCTGATCAGTTGTGGGGTGCCCTCAGTAGTTCCACTTGTTGCATCTGTTGTCCCAGGCTGATCAGTTGTGGACAAGCCCTCAGTAGTTCCACTTGTTGCATCAGTTGTGACAGGCTGATCAGTTGTGGGCGTGCCCTCAGTAGTTCCACTTGTTGCATCAGTTGTGGCAGGCTGATCAGTTGTGGGGTGCCCTCAGTAGTTCCACTTGTTGCATCAGTTGTGACAGGCTGATCGTTGTGGACAAGCCCTCAGTAGTTCCACTTGTTGCATCAGTTGTGACAGGCTGATCAGTTGTGGGGTGCCCTCAGTAGTTCCACTTGTTGCATCAGTTGTGCCAGGCTGATCAGTTGTGGGCGTGCCCTCAGTAGTTCCACTTGTTGCATCAGTTGTGACAGGCTGATCAGTTGTGGGGTGCCCTCAGTAGTTCCACTTGTTGCATCAGTTGTGGGGGTGCCCTCAGTAGGTCCACTTGTTGCATCAGTTGTTACAGGCTGATCAGTTGTTGGGGTGCCCTCAGTAGTTCCACTTGTTGCATGAGTTGTGGTAGGCTGTTCAGTTGTGGGCGTGCCCTCAGTAGTTCCACTTGTAGCATCAGTTGTGGGGGTACCCTCAGTAGTTCCAATTGTTGCATCTGTTGTGCCAGGCTGATCAGTTGTGGGCGTACCTTTAGTAGTTCTACTTGTTGCATCAGTTGTGCCAGGCTGATCAGTTGTGGACATTCCCTCAGTAGTTCCACTTGTTGCATCAGTTGTTACACGCTGATCAGTTGTGGGGGTGCCCTCAGTAGTTCCACTTGTTGCATCTGTTGTGCCAGGCTGATCAGTTGTGGACAAGCCCTCAGTAGTTCCACTTGTTGCATCAGTTTGACAGGCTGATCAGTTGTGGGGGTGCCCTCAGTAGTTCGACTTGTTGCATCTGTTGTCCAGGCTGATTAGTTGTGGACAAGCCCTCAGTAGTTCCACTTGTTGCATCAGTTGTGACAGGCTGATCAGTTGTGGGGGTGCCCTCAGTAGTTCCACTTGTTGCATCAGTTGTGAGGCTGATCAGTTGTGGGCGTGCCCTCAGTAGTTCCACTTGTTGCATCTGTTGTGCCAGGCTGATCAGTTGTGGGCATGCCCTCAGTAGTTCCACTTGTTGCATCAGTTGTGGGGGTACCCTCAGTAGTTCCACTTGTTGCATCTGTTGTGCCAGGCTGATCAGTTGTGGGCGTGCCCTCAGTAGTTCCACTTGTTGCATCAGTTGTGCCAGGCTGATTAGTTGTGGACAAGCCCTCAGTAGTTCCACTTGTTGCCTCAGTTGTGCCAGGCTGACCAGTTGTGGACAAGACCTCAGTAGTTCCACTTGTTGCATCTGTTGTGCCAGGCTGATCAGTTGTGGGCGTGCCTTCAGTAGTTCCAATTGTTGCATCTGTTGTGCCAGGCTGATCAGTTGCGGGCGTGCCCTCAGTAGTTCTACTTGTTGCATCAGTTGTGACAGGCTGATCAGTTGTGGGCGTGCCCTCAGTAGTTCCACTTGTTGCATCAGTTGTGCCAGGCTGATCAGTTGTGGATGTGCCCTCAGTAGTTCTACTTGTTGCATCAGTTGTGACAGGCTGATCTGTTGTGGGCGTGCCCTCAGTAGTTCCACTTGTTGCATCTGTTGTGCCAGGCTGATTGGTTGTGGGCGTGCCCTCAGTAGTTCCACTTGTTGCATCAGTTTTCCAGGCTGATCAGTTGTGGGGTGCCTCAGTAGTTCCACTTGTTGCCTCAGTTGTGAAGGCTGATCAGTTGTGGGTGCCTTCAGTAGCTTCACTTGTTTCATCACTTGTTGCATCAATTGTGGGGGTGCCCTCAGTAGTTCCACTTGTTGCCTCAGTTGTGACAGGCTGATCAGTTGTGGGCGTGCCCTCAGTAGTTCCACTTGTTGCATCAGTTGTGACAGGCTGATCAGTTGTGGGCGTGCCCTCAGTAGTTCCACTTGTTGCATCTGTTGTGCAGGCTGATCGTTGTGGACAAGCCTCAGTAGTTCCACTTGTTGCATCTGTTGTCCAGGCTGATCAGTTGTGGACGTGCCCTCAGTAGTTCCACTTGTTGCATCAGTTGTGCCAGGCTGATCAGTTGTGGACAAGCCCTCAGTAGTTCCACTTGTTGCATCAGTTGTGACAGGCTGATCAGTTGTGGGGGTGCCCTCAGTAGTTCCACTTGTTGCATCTGTTGTGCCAGGCTGATCAGTTGTGGACGTGCCCTCAGTAGTTCCACTTGTTGCATCAGTTGTGGGGTGCCCTCAGTAGTTCCACTTGTTGCATCAGTTGTGCCAGGCTGATCAGTTGTGGGCGTGCCCTCAGTAGTTCCACTTGTTGCATCAGTTGTGACAGGCTGATCAGTTGTGGGGGTGCCCTCAGTAGTTCCACTTGTTGCATCAGTTGTGGCAGGCTGATCAGTTGTGGGGGTGCCCTCAGTAGTTCCACTTGTTGCATCAGTTGTGCCAGGCTGATCGGTTGTGGACAAGCCCTCAGTAGTTCCACTTGTTGCATCAGTTGTCCAGGCTGATCAGTTGTGGCAAGACCTCAGTAGTTCCACTTGTTGCATCAGTTGTGCAGGCTGATCAGTTGTGGGGTGCCCTCAGTAGTTCCACTTGTTGCATCAGTTGTGCCAGGCTGATCAGTTGTGGACAAGCCCTCAGTAGTTCCACTTGTTGCATCAGTTTTGACAGGCTGATCAGTTGTGGGGGTGCCCTCAGTAGTTTGACTTGTTGCATCTGTTGTGCCAGGCTGATCAGTTGTGGACAAGCCCTCAGTAGTTCCACTTGTTGCATCTGTTGTGCCAGGCTGATCAGTTGTGGACAAGCCTTCAGTAGTTCCACTTGTTGCATCTGTTGTGCCAGGCTGATCAGTTGCGGGCGTGCCCTCAGTAGTTCTACTTGTTGCATCAGTTGTGACAGGCTGATCAGTTGTGGGCGTGCCCTCAGTAGTTCCACTTGTTGCATCAGTTGTTACAGGCTGATCAGTTGTTGGGGTGCCCTCAGTAGTTCCACTTGTTGCATGAGTTGTGGTAGGCTGTTCAGTTGTGGGCGTGCCCTCGGTAGTTCCACTTGTAGCATCAGTTGTGGGGGTACCCTCAGTAGTTCCAATTGTTGCATCTGTTGTGCCAGGCTGATCAGTTGTGGGCGTACCCTCAGTAGTTCTACTTGTTGCATCAGTTGTGACAGGCTGATCAGTTGTGGGCGTGCCCTCAGTAGTTCCACTTGTTGCATCAGTTGTGACAGGCTGATCAGTTGTGGGCGTACCCTCAGTAGTTCCACTTGTTGCATCAGTTGTGGCAGGCTGATCAGTTGTGGGGGTGCCCTCAGTAGTTCCACTTGTTGCATCAGTTGTGCCAGGCTGATCAGTTGTGACAAT